ATTAGTGGATTTGAATTTTTTTAATTTTTTTGATAAATTTATTTTTTTTAATTTTTTTGATAAATTTATTTTTTTTAATTTTTTAATTTTTGACCATAATTTTTAATTAGTACTTATCATTTTTTTGATAAATTTATTTTTTTTAATTTTTTAATTTTTTACCATAATTTTTAATTAGTACTTATCTAATTAATTTTAACTTTACTTTTTTAATAACATTAAGTGATTATTATATTTTTATTTTTACAATAATTTATCATTAAAAATATTAGTTTAATAAATAAAATTTACTATTTAGATGAAAAGATTAAAATTTTTTATACTTTATTTAAAAATAATATAATTTTTTCTTTATTAAAAAGAGAAATTAGCATGTGATTAGACTATTATAATTTTATTTATTTATTTATTTTCATATTATTATTTTTATAAAATTAATAATTTTAATAATAAAAAATATAAAAAGAAAAAATATATGTTTAATTATTTTTAAACATATCATTATTAGTAATTTAACTTTGAAATAATTGCTAACTATTGAATAACTAGATAATTATATTAATTGGATTTGTTATTATCATCCATCACTCACTTTCCACTACTTATTATCCACCTTCATTTTTCTGTTATTTACTAATGGGTGCTACCTGCTACTTGTTATTCACTATCTATTATCCATTAAATTTTAATTACTACACCAAATAACCTTAATAATAAATGGTATGTTAACTCTCATACAATTTAAAATTCAGACAATCATAAAAGCAAGAATCAAGCGACAAGTAAATTGAACCAACCCAACAAAAAATTGATTTGCATCCCATGCATAGCATTGGTTAAACATCCAGTCTTTAAAAAAATAAAAAAAAAAAAGCTGATTTTCCTCTGTACCTTAGCTAGTGGACTAAAACTAAGGACTAAACATTTCATCATTTGTTCAACTTAAAATAATTAATAAATAGATAACCTAGCTGGTCTCATAGTTGGATATATATATATAGGGTAAGTTTAGCTTAATTCTTGCTTTATAGAATTTTTGATTAATTAAATATATCTTTTGAAGAAGTATCAAATTATGAATTTATATAAAAATATAAAAATTTTCTTACACCTTTTTTTATTATCATTGCAGTTTTTATTTTGGTTTTTGATTGTAAAATATTTAGTTTAAAAATTTGTATCCAACAAGTTATTAATTTTAATTTTTAATTTTAACTTTTTATTAGGCTTAACACAAGTTTAGAGTTTTAGTTTTTAACCATTTAAAAGCTAAAAAGGACTTTAAAAAGAGTTTAATTTTAGAAAACATTATCCGTTTTTATTTTGGTTTTATTTAGTCTAATTTCAGCCTTTGGAAGAGTTTTTTTCGAAAGTTGAAACAAAGCATACGATCGTAAACTGTGTTGACATACTTTTGGTTAAACTTCAGAAGTATTACAAATAGGCCGGGTTAAGCACTAGATTGCGCGAGAGGTCATCATCCCTGCTCCTCAAAAAGTAGGCACCACCTGGGCTGGGGTTGAGCCTAGTTTTGAGTTTTCAATTTACATGACATGCGAGATATCGCTCCAATTGTGCAAAGTCCAAAAATTTTATTTTTTAATAATAGAGTTGTTTAATCTGTCTCGCGAGAACTGGATAATCAAGTGAGTTCTAAAATTACAGAGCCCATGTGTCTCCATGAGGCCTCCCAATCTTGCAAAACAGAGGCCACTGCTTGTAAAAGGCCCAAAAAGTATTTCGAGATGCGTGCGAATCTTTAGTATGCGCAATTAGTTATACATCAACTTCCTATAAAACCTGAAAAACCCCAGAAGCATTTTGATGTTTCTTGAATTTTGATGCAGTGAGAGCATTGAACTCAATCTTCCAACAATGGGACATACAGGCACCGCCGAATTCCTGGAATATCAGCGGCGAACCATGCACCGGAACTGCTCTGAGCCAAAACTATTCCGTTTTCGACGATCCTTCCAACAATCCGGCCATCACATGTGATTGCACCTTCAACGATTCCACTACCTGTCACATCACCAGACTGTACTCTCTCCGTCTCCTGCTGCTCCGGCGAACGTATTAACTTCTGTTTCGAACTTTTGATCTGTTGCGGAGTTGCACTCTAACTGTTTGTTTATTTTCCCAGCAGAGTGAATGAACTGAAAATACAAGGGGTGATGGCGGAGGAGCTTTTGGCTTTCAAATTCTTAACCTTTCTGTATGGTTTCTTATTTTTCTTTTGCTCGTCAAAAATGACTTTTTATCATTTTCCTGGAGAGTTTTTAAGAGTACTGAATTGTTCATATATTGTTTGATGATGCAGGAAGATCGATCAAAATTACTTCACCGGTCCATTGCCGGCATGGATTGGAAATTTATCTACCTTGCAGTTGTTGTAAGCATGGATTCTGCTGGTCTTATGCTAGCATTTTACTTTACTTTAATAGATAGCATTTGCCAAAATTTCTGAAATTTCCATGCCTAGTTTTTCTGACTTTTGGTTCTAGTCGGTAAATGTCTTTCCTGTCAAGTATACATGTGTCAACCTGCTAATTACATCTTGCTTACTTTCTAAAAAAGAGGCATTGA